CTCTACCCAAAGCCTTCAAAAAAGGCCCGCTCCACGCCGCTGCCTGGAGTGGTTGACTCCGGAAAGGGAGAGAGAGACTGAGGGCGTTCCCACCGTGTCTCAGTTCAGCCTCCAGAAATGAGAGCAGCAAGGCCAGCTGGAGATGGAGTGGCCAGAAGTGAGGCAGACACCCAGCAGGACTCAGAAGCAACATCTGTGGGCTATTTCCCAGAAATCCTCAGAACTCTTTGGAGGGGACTATGTTTCTTGTGTGCAGACAGAGGTAGGATGAGGGCTCATGTTGTTTCCTTTCTCTGAGACAGGGTCTCACTCTGTCATCCAGGCTGGAGTGCAGTGGATCTATCATGGCTCACTGCAGCCTCGACCTCCCAGGCTCAGCCTCCTGGGCAGCAGGGACTACAGGCGTCCATGCCTAGCTAAATTTTCTTTTCTTTTTTGTAGAGACAGAGAAAAAAAAGAAAAGTGGCGATCCTCCCGCCTCAGCCTCCCAAAGTGCTGGGATTATAGGTGTGAGCCACTGCACCCAGCCAGACTTTTTTTTTTTTTTCTTAAACAGTAGAAATTTAAGGCTCATAAGTACAGGATTAGCACCTGAGAGTGGCTCCTCAGTGGCCTCCCCTGACTCCCCCCTCTCCTCCCTTCTCCTCCCTGCCTCTCCCTGTCCCCCCCCAACTCCTCCTCCTCGCCCCGGGTCTTCCTCACCTGAGCCTTTTTGTGGTGTTTATGATGTTGAGTCAGATTGTGGGCTTAGAGATAAGGCCAGAGAAAGCAGATGAAAGAAAAAAGACTTGGCCAAAAAGATGAATTAATTAACTTAATAAATAAGAAGAACGGGAGGCAAAGGTGGCCTTGGGCTGGGGTCCCAGGACCAGCGTTTCAGGGGAACGGGCCTGTGGAGAAGGTGCTAGAGCCACTACTGTGGGAAGAAAAGGTGGGGGTTTCTGCAGTATTACTGGAAACCACGTCCCTTTCACGGTGTTCAGTGAGAGGACTCGGGCCACTTTGACATTCATCTCAATGGCTCTCACCATGTCTTTGGGTCCCTAATCCCCTCCAGGAAGAGCTGTGGGGTCAGCATCTAGACAAAATCACTCAGGGGAGCCAGTCACCAGTCAATGACCTTGGCTGGTGTCCAGTGACAGCCAGCATCTTCAGGGCATCGAACGTCTCTTCCAGCCTGGCCTGGACCCAGAAGCATCACATGTCCCTGATGGTCGAGTGAGGGAGGGGCCCGAGCCAGAGAGGGCCCAGGAGCCATAGAATACCGTCTCCTCAGGGAGATTTCTAACCCTGGCTGGGCCCTGGTGGAATCCTCAGTGAGACTTCTAGGTGTATCATGTGTCCCTACGCGTTTACTAAAAAACGGCCCTTATCTTTGGGGTGTGGAAATAAATGAAGACCACCCAAAGGAGACAAGCCAAGGCTGTTTACTCAGAGCTTGCTGGGGCAAGGGAGTCGGCCAGCATCGTTCACATCTGGCGGACTCGAAGGCAGGGAGAGGACAGGGAGAGTTCTAGAGGAAAGGGAAGGCTCCAGGCATGCCTGCTGGAGGCTGCTGCTGGGGAGCTGGAGGCGTCTCTCTAGAGGTGGGCATTCCACAGGACTGGACAGGGGAGCACATTTGGCTTTCTCTGGCTGGTCCTAGGTTGGAAGCAGGAACAAAAACTAGAGACACTGCCAGTTATTCATGATGCCCTGGTCATTTGGGATAGGTGGTTATAGGGGTGACTTAGTTCAGCTTCCTGGACTATTGGAGGAGAATGCAGCCTGGCTTCCTGCAAGCCTGGCACAGCAGGCAGCTTCCCGGGTGGGCTCCCGTAGGTCATGGTTTGGTCTCCTGGGCGGGCTGCCGCAGACTGTGGGGCAGAGTCCTGTGTTTACGGGAGGTCTGTCCATTGTCCACGCTGAATATTCAGTCTCAGGAGATCTGGACTAAAACATCCATGGGGAAGGTCAAACGCTGTCTGGGTTTGCTTTAAAATAACCCAGGGCAGGGGGAGCAGGTGAGGGTGCAACGCGAGCCTAGACCGCCATGAGCTGACCTCTGTCGAAGCAGGGGATGGATCCATGAGGGTTCTCAGACTATCCTCACTGCTTCTGGATATTTTTATGAGATTTCATAACAAACATTTAAAAACAAACAAAAATCCCTGGCCACTGTGAACCCCTAGCATCCTGGGGCACCATCCCGGTGGGCCTCGTGACACTGCCCGATTCCAGACCCTTCCATGCCTTGGAACATCACAGTGTGCCCTTTGGGAAGGCTTTGCTTAGTGTAACTGTGGTTATGGCTCCAGGGAGTCCCTAAATCTTGCAGCCTATATCCCCTTCCCAGCTCAGAGCCAGTGCCTAGGACTTAGTAGGTCCTCAGGACTAATGTAAATGAATTAATAAATGAATTGAGTGAAACAAGCCACGGATTAATTGCTTTACTGAAGGTTCCCCGGCTCCCATACCCTGGCTTGTGCTTAGTTTTATGGCACCATCAGTCTCCTCACTGGCTGGAAGCTTCTGGGGTAAGGAGAAGAAACTCATCTTCAGCTCTCCCACAGCACTGCAGAATAGTGATTGGCAAAAAGGCAGTTAGGAAGTATTTTGGAAACTATTGGGAAATGCCTAAGATGGAGATGTCTTGGTTAACAGTGGCAACGTAAGAGAATTCTGCTTAAGACGGCAAAGCCAAGACTAGCAGGAGAAAATCAGGTATTTGAAGGCATCATTACTGCTTGCAAAAAGAGCCATAAGGACTCCAAATCAGCAGACAATTTAAAGAGGACATTTAATGAGAGGCCTTGACTGGCAGGCACTGTCTGCAGACAAGGCCACGCATGGCCAGGCCTGCCATGTGCCCACTCGCTCTTCAGAACATTTTACTCCTCGACGAGGCCTGACACCCAGGCCTTTCATCTTCCCTCCACCTGAGTTTCCGTGCCAAGGACCCCAACGAGACACCCTTGAAAGCACTTCAGTATGGTCTGAAATATGCTGATAATTAGCCAAATGAAACCCAGAAGGAATTTCCTTAAACTCCCTCCTCTCTGTTGAATTTTATAAAGCTAATAAAAACATTTTTATCTGACAAAAAAGCCTTCCCCCAAAAAGCTTATCTTCTGCAGAAAATGAGATAAGCACTTTCTTTCTTTTTTTTTTTTTTTTTTTTTGAGACGGAGTCTTGCTCTGTCACCCAGGCTGGAGTGCAGTGGCCGGATCTCAGCTCACTGCAAGCTCCTCCTCTCGGGTTCACGCCATTCTCCTGCCTCAGCCTCCCGAGTAGCTGGGACTACAGGCACCTGCCACTTCGCCTGGCCAGTTTTTTCTGTATTTTTTAGTAGAGACGGGGTTTCACCGTGTTAGCCAGGATGGTCTCGATCTCCTGACCTCGTGATCCGCCCGTCTCGGCCTCCCAAAGTGCTGGGATTACAGGCTTGAGCCACCGCACCCGGCCAGCACTTTCTTTCTAAAATCACGTTCCCAGCCCGAAAGGCTGGTGTCCCCACAAGCTGAAGCCACACAGTCCAACTCTTGCAAGACCACAGGGGCGGCTGGGGGACTGAGTCGCCGTGGGGGCGGCCGCCTTGCTGAGGTGGGCTTTCCTTCTCCATCGAGCTGCTGTCATAGGCAGACTTGGGGCTGGGGGTCGGTCGAAGTCATACCCCTCTCCCTCTCTCTCTTTTTTTTCTTTTTTTTGTTAACACAGAGTCTCATTCTGTCGCTCAAGCTGGAGTCCAGTGGTATGATCTTGGCTCACTGCAACCTCAGCCTCCTGGGTTTGAGCAATTCTCCCGCCTCAGTCTCCTGGGTAGCTAGGAATATAGGCACCCACCACCATGCCCAGCTAATTTTTTTGTGCTTTTGTAGAGATAGGGTTTCACCATGTTGGCCAGGCTGGTCTCGAACTCCTGACTTCAAGTGATCGGCCGCTTCAGCCTCCCAAAGAGCTGGGTTCATAGGAGTGAGCCATCGCGCCTGGCCCATACCCCTCATCTCTGAGAACTGCCATCCCCGCCAACCAGGAGTCTTCGTGGCCACGTCTGAGCTCTGTGGCCTCACTGAGCCCTCATGGCACACCCCTCAACAGAGCTGACTGTGCCTGGGACACCTGACCAGCTAGCCTGGGCAGATCCCCCTTCCCGAGGATTTGGCTTTGAAGCTGCCTTTGTGGGTGGTCTGAACTGAGGACACAGGAGACAAGAATGGATTGGTGGTCACGAGTGGCTGGAAGCATGACAAGAAAGACAGAAGAGAGGAGGAAGGGTCCCCGCCTCAGCCTCCCAAGTAGCAGGGACTACAGGCACGTGCCACCATGCCCAGCCAGAGGTAATTTTGAAGAAATATTTTTGAGTTGCTTTTTGTATTAAAGAGAAAAAATGTGATCGAGTCTTATATTTCCCTTTAGATGTTTTTCAAATATCGAGCTGGTGGTCTTTTAGAAACAGAATACCCACACCTCCTGCAATGCTCCCTAACGTGTGTGAGAGGGACAGGGTGAATGGGCACTGCCCAGACCAGAGGGTGGGCTGTGCAGCAGGGTGCCCAGGGCTATGGGAGGGAGACACCTCTAAGGTACAGGACATGGGAGCTTTCCACTCTGGTGACAGCTGGACAGCTGCCCTTTCAACTGCTGGTGCAGCCCAGCCTGCCACCCCCTGGCGCGGGCCACCGGGTTCAGCACTTGCCTCCACGCCTTCACTCGGCTGAGCCTAAGAAGAAAAGGAGCAAGCCTGGACCATTCCACCAGGTGCTTGGACAAAACAGCCTCCTTCACTCGACTCGTGATCCTTTCCCATTGCAAAAACTCACCTCGGTACCCAGCGGGACGTAGGCCCAGTAAGGAATTATCTTCTTCCTTCCTTCACATCCTGCCTGTGTCTATTTTACTCTAGCATTTTCTTTTAATCAAAAATGAAATGGAACAAACCAAGCAATGGCTGGGTGGCAGTGGGGGTGGCGGTGGGCACTGCCACTGTGTGCCTACCCCTGTCCCCGGGGCCAGTCCTTACCTTCCTTTGCAGATAAAGCCTTTTGGCTTTGGTGGCCGTAAAGGAAAACTCGTTTAAGATCAGGTTCTCCAGGGTGAGGAGACTGCTGTTCAGATGTTTGCAGAGCCACATTGCCTGAAGAAAGGAAAGAAGAAAAGAGCATTTTCATAAAAACAATAAATACACAAATAACTCCATTAAAATGCCCAGGTCCTTCCCTTTCCTACGGGAAAAGGTTGGCCATGGGAAAGCACAATTATTTCCAGCTGGAGGAAGGCCACCAAGGGAGACCCACCCAGAAAGCACCTGCCGGCCTAAGAGCCCTGCTCGTAGCATCTCTTCTTCTACCAGCATGCACTTAAATCAAGTGGGAAGACCTATAGGCGGGCTACGTTTTAGCTGCCCTTGACATGCTTTCCAAGCTCTGTGGACCATGAGTTTCATCTCAAGGAAGATTTAGAACAGGAACTTTGAGGACAGAACCTAAGGATGGGTAACAGCCCACACTCAGTATTCTTTTTTTTCTTAAAGATTGGGAGCTGGCATGTGCTGGTCAATGGGATGTTTAGTTCATTGATAATTACTCTATAGTCTGTAACAGAAGAGTAAATTTTAAGGAAGAATAATGAACTAAAACAATCTTGACACCAAAATTGTGCTGATGACCCTTCCAGCCTCGAGATGGTTCTGAAGGCCCTTCCAGGACCCAGGGCTGGTGTGAACCTTCATTCTTCCTATTTCTGTTGCTGAGACAGAACCTCAGTGACAGCATTGGGAAGAAGCCCTTTTTGACTGTACATCGTCTTATCAGAACTGTGTGTCTCCAAAGGGCACTCAGGACTAGGGACAGCAATTCACCAAAAGGCTTGCTGCTGAAACACCAGCTGCCGGGGCCTGACCTCGACAGGGAGGACAAACTCGATCACTTCAACCATGCCGGGATGTGCCGAAAGTGAGTCTCTGCCCTCTGAATCTGCTCTGCCCGGCAGATTCCTACCAGGGACCAGAGAAGAGCTAGGACAGGACGAATTTAAATGTCAAAGACAAAAGGAGAGCCTCCCACTGAGCAACCAGACTCTTCCAGAAAAGCGAGTTCAACGAGCTTGTCTGTCTAAATGCAGAATCCGTCATCCTCACTCCCAATGTCAGAATTACCTGGGGAGTGTGTTCTAACTACTAGTTTTTTGGGGCTCTGCTCCAGGAGATTCTGATGAGGTTGGTCTGCAGGGGACTCCAGGAACCTGCATTTTTCATAGCACCCTGGAAATGCCAACGATCAGCAGGTCTGGGAGACCCTGGCTTCTAATTGTGAAACAGCAAAATGGTTGGACTCAGCTGGGTTAAATGCAGAAATGCATGGAACCCTACAGTCTGATATGGAGGAATCAAATAGAAAAACTATAGACCAACAGGATGAGCAGATGGACAGATGAGTAGAACAGCTATACTAACTTCAAAAGCAGAGCCCATGCAGGTTAGTTTAGGCAAGGATCAGTCATTTTAACTCCTTTTCAGAAGAAAGCAGGGTGCCAGTTAAACAGGGGAACAGCCTGCCCCATCCCGTCCATGACACATGCTCACGGCGATTATACAGTCTCGGAAGAAGGGTTCGCTGATGTTCACCGACCAGGTTTTTAAAAGGTAAAAAGGGTCACATCTTGGATGAATGAAACTTTAACACGTTTCTGGCACTTAAAAATGGACTTTAGGCCGGGTACAGTGGCTCATGCCTGTAATTCCAGCACTCTGGAAGGCCGAGGCAGGCGGATCACGAGGTCAAGAGATTGAGACCGTCCTGGCCAACATAGTGAAACACTGTCTCTACTGAAAATACAAACATTAGCTGGGTGTGGTGGCACACGCCTGTAGTCCCAGCTACTCAGGAGGCTGAGGCAGAAGAATCGCTGGAACCCAGGAGGAGAAGGTCATAGTGAGCTAAGATCGCACCACTGCACTCCAGCCTAGCGACAGAGCGAGACTCAGTCACAAAAAATAAAAATAAAAAAATAAAAAGTAAAAAGGGTTCCATCTCAGATAAATGAAATTTTAACGCATTTTTGGCACTTAAAAGTGGACCTTAGGCCAGGCGTAGTGGCTCACGTCTGTAATCCCAGCTCTTTGGGAGGCTGAGGTGGGCAGATCACCTGAGGTCAGTTCAATACCAGCCTGGACAACATGGTGAAGCTGCATCTCTACTAAAAATACATAAATTCGCTGGGTGTGGTGGTGCACGCCTGTAGTCCCAGCTAGTCGGGAGGTTGAGGCATGAGAATCGCTTGAACCTAGGAGGCAGAGGTTGCAGTGAGCCCAGATTGCACCACTGTATTCCAGCCTGTGTGACACAGTGAGACTTTGTCTGAAAAAACAAAAAAGGACCTTAAAGATTGAATGTCCTAGAGGCATTCACTGTCTAGAAAACGGCATTCACTGTCCAGAAACTGGTGGTATGTGAAAAAGGGTGGGTGAGGTGGGCCCAGGCATTGCTATATCTTCAAAGATGCATTTTCTTTTTTTTTTTTTTTTGAGACGGTGTCTGGCTCTGTAGCCCAGGCTGGAGTGCAGTGGCCAGATCTCAGCTCACTGCAAGCTCCGCCTCCCAGATTCACGCCAGAGAAGGGGGTTGGGTACATGAATATCGATGATATAGTTTGCTGTCCTTTTCTGATTCTTTTAAATATTTCACAATTAAAATGTTCAGAGTGAATCTTAAGATTCCAAGTCAAAGTCTGTGAAATGTGTGTACTGTTGGACCCAGCACTTCTACTTCTGGAAATGCATCCTAAGGACATAACGAACGGTGAGCAAGGAGAGCGTGTACGCGGGCAAGAGAAATCCCACAAAGGTGTCTCCAAGCACGTTAAAGGAATGCTCATCTCTGGATCTCTGGATGGTCGGGGAATTCTATTTTTGGTCTTTTGTAGTTTCTAGGTTTTCTGCTACAAATACACACTACCTTTCGTAATAAGAAGAAAATAAGAAGGAAGAGAAGGAAAAGAAGCAAAGCTCAGTTATGCTGCAAATTCATGGAGGTGCAGTCTCATTCCAGCTCTGGAGGATAAATGAGATATTACAGCATCACAACACTTAATATGATACACTTACTATCGTTGTTTTCCCCGAGGCAGGTGGACCTAATATTACAATCCTGGGCACTGTGGAATAAAAAGATGTGAATGTCACTACTCAACATGACAAGCAGCCTCCCATGTCTGCGGTACTCAGGGTGTACTTATTTCTTTCCTCCCCAGATTTCATTTTCTGCCAGTGACACGGCCATTTGTAACCCAGCAGCTCAGAGACACTCTTGCCACGGAACGCATTCTCTGTGTTTAGAGAGGTAAGTGATCACTGAGATGGTTTATTCTTCTACCTCCAAGGGGACATGGACACAGTAACTTGTTTACCAAACTCATAAATATCAAGAACAATTGGGATTTCAAATGCCATAAAGCATTTTAAACAGGGACTTTGTCTCCAGTCGCTCTCTCCAATAAGGCTGTAATTTATGCAAATCGACCTTAGAAGCTTTTCTTTATGTTTATGCCTTTTTATTTTAGCAAATTGTATTCCCCATGATTTTACAGAGGGAAGTAATGGGGAAAGCCCACTACTTCCCTCTGTATGGGGAAGTGTATGGGCCAGATTTCTAAAACCCGAGAAAGGAGAGTCTGCTTTCAAAGATGGACTTTTCTATGCAAATGGAAAACACTGGCAGCTTGTTTGATTTGAGTCCCGGCTGGTTTTGGTCCCACAGAATTCCCAAGGCTACTGACAAGACTGTGATATGAACCAAGGACTCCTGAACCTGTGACCGAGAGTCTGGGCTCACCCGGCAGGTGAAGCTCTGGTGGCAGACCCAGGCCCTGGCCATTATAGAAGCTGAGAAGGCATTTTCAGCTTCTGGGGTGGGAGCCAGGGCAGGGATTCAGCAGCCCTTTCTCTGTTCTAGGCCTGTAACCTGGGGCAAGGCTTCCCAGGACCCTCCCCATGGGGAGAGAAGCCACTGCAGGTAGAAAAATTGCTTGCAGGACAAGTCTGGAAACAAGGTGGCTTTGAGAACACATGGTCAGGTGAGAGGATGAAGTGAGACAGAGCTAGAGTGGCTGCTGGCGACGGGAAAAGAGCTGACTGGCATGGGGAGAAGGGTGCTGGAAGGCATCACCCTGGGTTGAAATGAAGGGAACAGCAGTGGGGTCCGGACAGATGCATCCACACTGCCTGCCTGCCCAACACCATCTTGACTGGGCCAGCTGTCCCTCTCCTCGTGGGGAGCCGGTAACCTTGGCCTGGCCCCTGACCCAAGGCGACAGATGAACAGATGTCCACTGCAACTCGCATGAGCCTCTAACATCTGCAAGAGAGCCTGTTCTGGCTGGGCTTCCGGGAGGGAATCTCGTCTCAGCAGAGGAGAGAGGTGCATGGTCTTCTAGTTTGGGGGCAGACACAGAAAAGGAACTAGACAGTGTCCTTTTGGCCAGCAATGTAATGGTCAGCACATCTACACCCAGCTGGCTGCTTGGGTTTAAATAGATCTTTGCCCAAAATTATGGCACCTTCCATTTTTGGAGGAAGTCAAGGTAACTCACTGAATGATCCTCTCCTCTAACCTCAGAAGCTGTGGACCTTCTTATTCTCCCTATGGCTGTTCCTTCCACGTTCCTGCCTTGCCACCTGTCATTTCCCATCAGGAACGTCCTCCCTTCCCAGTGCTCAGCATCCCCAGCCTCCCACTCCCTCTCCCTCCCTGAGATCCTTGTTCTCACTCCCTGTGGAGGCCCATGATCAAGTGGCGGGCTGCCGCAGCCTTCCACACTGGTAAATGTCAGCCTGCTACTGAGAAACAGGTGGAGCTGCTGTCCCCACAGAAAGAGAAGCTCCCAAGGGCAGAGACCGAGTCTTATCCTCCTGGATCACCCCCATGGCAGCCAGAACTATGAGGAGTCACATACAGTGACCTTCAGGGCCAACTCCTTGGCTGTCCCCATCTCGTCCTATGGTCACTGTTTGTCACCTGTGTCACCACCATTACTACTGCCTTACAGAGGGCCCCCTCTGCCAGTCAGCATGTTTGGGTACAAGTGCAGAAACTGGATACAGCTCAAGAAGAAAAGGGGGTTGACTGCTCACACCCGTAACCCCAGCACTTTGGGAGGCCGAGATGGATGGATCACTTGAGGTCAGGAGTTCGAGACCAGCCTGGTCAACATGGTGAAACCCCATTTCTACTGAAAATACAAAAAATTAGACAGGTGTGGTGGCACATGCCTGTAATCCCAGCTACTCGGGAGGCTGACACAGGAGAATCACTTGAACCTGGAAGGTGGAGGTTGCAGTGAGCCGAGATTGCGCCACTGCACTCCAGCCTGGGCAACACAGCAAGACTCCGTTTCAAAATATCTATATCTATATCTATCTCTCCATCCCAGCGTGGCTCACAGAGTCCTACACAGGCTGGGAAGCCAGGCCCTCAGGGCTACCCCACAGGAACAACACCCCAAGCAAGGCCACCCAATGGGCTGGGAAGACACCACACAGTGCAGCCCGTGCCCATGATGCTGCTGTCACATGTGGGCACCGTGCCGCCATCAACCATGCTGCCCTTCTACCCAGGAAGCAGGCCCTGCGGAGCTGCCAGGTAGTGCTCCGGGCCCTGCCTGTGACTCTGAGTCTGGACTCCCCCAGCAGGTGAAGCACTGGTAGCGGGCCCAGCCCTGACTGTCATGGAAGCTGGGAAGGTGTTTTTAGCTTCTGGGGTGGGAGCCAGGGTGGGCATTCAGCGGCCCTTTCTCTGTTCTAGGCCTAGGGCCTGGGGCAAGGCCTCCCAGGGCCCTCCCTGTGGGTGAGAGAAGCCATCATAGGAAACAGTGTGGGAAACACTGCTTGCAGGACAAGTGCAGAAGCGAGGTGGCTTTGAGGACACATGGTCAGGTGAGAGGATGAGGCGAGATGGGAGCCAGGGTGCCATGGGAGGTTTGTGGGGAGGGGTGGCAGGGAGGGTGGTCAAGGGTGGAGGATCCTTGGGCCATGAGGCAGAGCTCTCACTTGGACCATGGGGAGAGCGCCTGCTTGGCCAAAGTCAGATGAGGGAGCAGTGGGGAACCTGGGTCCGCTCAAAGTCAGATGAGGGAGCAGTGGGGAATCTGGGTCCGCTCATGCACCATCGCCTGCTGCGTCTCCGGGGCTCTGACCACAGGCCCTGCTGAAGCTCCTCCAGACACAGACGAGACCCAACAGGGCTCAGGGCGCGCAGAGCCCGAGGAGTGGGGAAACGCAGCTCGGCAAGGGCCTTTGGGGAGCAAACCTGACTCCTGAGTCACGCATTTGTCTGAGAGTTCCCGGGCTGGGGGCTGCAGGGAAACCCTCCCCTTCCAGGTTCCTGTAAGTGGCGCCCAAATGGTACACATCTATGAACAGACTTTAAAAGGGGAACATCCACGGCCTTTCTCCCCACCTAATTTCTCCCACACATTTATGTGATTAATTTCAGTTTCTTAAAATCTAACACCTTGAAACTCCAGCCCTGCTCATGAGTAATTATTTATAAACAGTGTCATAAAAGGCTGCTTGACTGCCAAGAGTAATCAACTTCTTCCAACCACTTCAAAGGAAATCAAAAAACCTTTCCATCCACAGATCCTTTTGAGGTTTAACTAGGAGCATGATTTAAAATTCACAAGAAAACCCTTAGGTATTGGAGCTCTAATACACAGCTTTCTTGGACAAACGTTTGATAAAAAACGAAACATACCATTATATACACCATCGCCTGCTTTAATATTGCCCAGGGCTACTGTAAATGCTCACTTTGTACTAAATCTGCTTTTCTGGCGGCGAAGGGGCTGCCAGCCTATGTACCGAGGCTCTCTCTGCTCCCTCGTGTGCTTGCTCACTGGGATGAGCCCGGGGCCTTCTTTCCCTCTACACCAGTCACCGGGCATGTCACTGTGTGTGGCAGTTAACCCCGGGCCCAGGAAGAGGAAGGGCTGAGGTCCTAGCTACAGTTACCACAGGCCGCTGCATGGCTGGAAAGGGGCACAATGATCTGACATACCAGCGCAGGGGAATAAAACACACATTGGATGTCACGGGCCCCTCCAAGCCTCCCGCACTCTTCTAGGACACATGAGGATTGGGCTTAGCTGATTCGAGGCTTCTCCCACTCCTAGAAAAGTCACCAAGGCGGCCGGGCGCGGTGGCTCATGACTGTAATCCCAGCACTTTGGGAGGCCGAGGCGGGTGGATCATCTGAGGTCAGGAGTTTGAGACCAGCCTGGCCAACATGGTGAAACCCCGTCTCTACTAAAAATACAAAAGTTAGCTGGGCATGGTGGTGGGTGCCTGTAATCCCAGCTAGTCAGGAGGCTGAGTCAGAAGAATCGCTTGAACCTGGGAGGCGGAGGTTGCAGTGAGCCGAGATTGCGCCGTTGCATTCCAGTCTGGGCGACAGAGTGAGACTCCGTCTCCAAAACAAACAAACAAACAAAAAACAGAAAAAGAAAAGAAAAGTCACTAAGGCAGGGTAGTTTCCCCTGTCTTCCTTCCTCCTTCCCATTTTTGCTCCACAAGCGTGGGCAGAGAGAGAGAAACCCATGGGTGTCGCTCTCTTCTTTCCATTTCAGTGGTTGGGACTTGAGCCAAAGGACAAAATGTTCCAACATCTGTAAAAGCTGCCAGCTGAGGGCCTGCGGTGGAGTGCAGGGCTGTGGGAAACAAATGAACTCTCCAAAACAGTGGTTCCTGGGACCCAGTGACTCTACTCCCTGAGAGCATCTAGCCAAAAGCTGGACTCAGCTGTTCAGGAGGACAGACCCCCAGCTGGAGGCTGGCCCCCAGCTAGAGACGGCATGAGGCAGGTCTGGATCCAAGCCCCTGCTCGAGAACAACAGAGCAGGTGCAGTGCAAAGAAAGGAGCAAGGACTCCATGGAGGGAGCTTTGGGAAAGCCCCAGACCTTCGGATGAAGGGAAAGGGGCACTAAGGAGGGTGGGAGGAGGAGACAAAGGGAGGGAGGCGGCAGCGGAGGTGGCTGTCCAGCCAACATCAACTACACTCCATCCAAACCAGAAAGATGATGTTTAAACTTTAAAATCCTGATGAAGTGGACAGTTTGACATTGAAAATTAAAGCTGCACACAGAGGAGTAAGATCAAAACATAAAGAGATTATTGAATCTGCCTCAAATTTCTTGAAATTCAAGGCTCTTGAGCTTCTAGGCTGGGGAACGAGGTAAGCCTTGAAGTAGCGGTTTAAGAACACACAGGGCCGGGCATAGCGGCCCATGCCTGTAATCTCAGTGCTTTGGGAGGCCAAGGCAATAGGATCGCTTGAGCCTAGGAGCAGGGACCAGCCTGGGCAACATAGTGAAACCCTGTCTCTACAAAAAAAAATTTAAAAATTAGCCAGGTGCAATAGCATGTACCTGTAGTCCCAGCTACTCAGGAGGCTGAGGCAGGAGGATCACTTGAGCCCAGAGGTCAAGGCTATAGTGGGCTGTAATCACCCCACTGTACTCCAGCATGAGCAACAGAGTGAGACCCTGTTTCTAAAAAGAAAAGTAAGAGGGAGGAAAGAAAAAAAGAGAAGAACACAGGGCATGCCCCAAGCAGGATTTTCAAACTAACAGCAGAAAACGTCAGTGCAACCTAACTTATGAGAGTTCAAGTGGTTACATTATTATCAAGCACTTTTTTTTAGACAGAGTCTTACTACATTGCCCAAGTTGGAACGCAGTGGGTATTCAAGATGCAGTTGTGGCACTGTGGTCTCGAACTCCTGGCCTCAAGCGATCCTCCTGTCTCAGCCTCCCAAGTAGCTGGAGCTACAGGTGCACTACCACACCCAGCTTTCAAGCACTTTTTTTTTTTTTTTTAGATAGGGTCTTACTCTGTTGCCCAGGCTGGAGTGCAGTGGTGCGATTTCAGCTCACTGCAACCTCCACTCCCTGGGTTCAAGCGATTCTCCTGCCTCAGCCTCCAGAGTAGCTGGGATTACAGGCATGTGCCACCATGCCCAGTTAATTTTTGTATTTTTTGTTTTTGTTTTTCAGACGGAGTCTCACTCTGTCACCTAGGCTGAGGTGCAGCGGTGCGATCTCGGCTCACTGCAAGCTCCACCTCCCGGGTTCACACCATTCTCTTGCCTCAGCCTCCCCAGTAGCTGGGACTACAGGCACCCGCCACCATGCCTGGCTAATTTTTTTTATTTTTAGTAGAGATGGGATTTTACCATGTTAGCCAGGATGGTCTCGATCTCCTGACCTCATGATCTGCTCGCCTCGACCTCCCAAAGCACTGGGATTACAGGCATGAGCCACCGCACCCAGCCAATTTTTGTATTTTTAGTAGAGATGGGGTTTCGCCATGTTGGCCAGGCTGGTAAGCACAATTTTTAATTTAGAAAAATCTATCAAGCTTTTTACTACTGGAAACTCGACGTCGTATCCCTGGAAGCCGCTACCCATGGTGCATCAGGGATTTCCCATTCCTTCAGCCACCACTGACCAGACCAGAGTTTCACGGCTTCCATCTGGTTTTACCAAACATGTCCATTTCACAAATGAGGAAAGTAAGGCCAGAGACAGCCACGATCTCTCACGTCTCTATATTTTAAGATGAGTGAGCTGCAGGGTACCTGACAGCGGGGAGGGAGGTGGGGGGTGGTAGGACAGAGGATTGTGCTGCACCGCACTCTCCACTCGCTCTTGGTTGACTTTTAGTCCGACTTTGTTTTCGCTTTACTTTTACTTTAGCTTTTACTTGGCTCTTACTTCACTTTTACTTTGTGTTTCCTTCTGCTTTGCCTTCCCTTTGCTGTCCATCCTTTCTCTGGTGGCGGGGTGAGATAGCTGCGTGGGGGCAGAGTTGCTGTCCGCAGCCCTGGAATAACAGAGCTTAGCAACACCCAAGCTCCCAGCACCCACTCGGCCTCAGGGTGGGGGCGGGGGCAAATGCAGGAACTTCTTCCTCTGGCAGATGGAGTCAGTGGGGCCTGGGGGCGAGCCGAGGTCTGCAGCAGTAAGGGCCACGCAGGAGGGCAGGGTAGGCTTAACATCCACCCTAAGAGCAGGTGAATCTGGAGAGACAGAACCTCCCACCTGGGCCATGTAATCAACAGCCAACCAGAGAAAGACGGTCTCTGAGAGTCGCTGCAGGGCACAGTAAACTGCACCAGGAAGGTGGGGTTGGGGAGAAGGCAAATCGGACATGGGGAACAGGGTCCCGAGGCCACCCCAGCACCACACCACCCACGCCTGGGCACACAGGACTCTCAGTCAACATCCGCTTAACAAGGGAACGTCCAGTGAATCAGCCATTTGCACCTAACCAGAGGCTCAGAAAAGGGACTCTTTCTTGGCCCTTTGTGGGGTCTCTCTTTGAACCTGCCTGCCTAGGTCCATGCAATGGCATCGGGAGCCAAGACTCCCTTCCTCTGCTGCTCCGCAGCCAGACCTGGATGCACCAGGAACTGCGTGCAGGGCACGAGGAAAAGGCTTGGAACCTCCTCTCTCACCTTTTTTTTTTCTTTTAACTACCTAGTGTCATTTCTCACCTTGGGCCTTCTGAACCTCCACACAGGGCGTCTCTGGCCTCTGTCCTTAGCTGCACCAAGTGCTAATTTCACTGGTGCGCTGGTAGCTCCTTCAAAGCAGCTAATTCTCCAATGAAAGAAACATAAAAGCTCCAAGACATCAGTCCTACCCAACATCCCACACAGGACAGGACTGACCCTCCACTTGGCAAAGGGACCATGGAATAGAGTGAGGGGCCTTCCTTGTGTGAGCGCCTCCCTCCTCCTCGCTCCTGTGCTCTGGGTCTGCTGACCTGCACCGGCCAACTGCAAAGGTTTGGGGAGCTCAGAAACTCATTAACAGGCTCTGATAATGAGACCGTCGGAAAAGCCCAAGAGCTTGCCTGTCTAGGTAGACCAGAGACCAAACTTACACCTGACAAGTGGAGTGATCAGAGAGCTGAAACCCAACAGGCGACATCAGCTAGGGCAGGCGAAAGCATTAATAATTGATTCCATGGGTCATTCTGGGGTTTTCATTTTAGTAACTTGGCAAGAGAATTTTTATAAGTTGTGCTCCAAAAGAAATTAAGGCATTTTTTCAATGAACCACCACCTCAAGTTGTCGAAACCCCTCCCTTCTGACCCCTCTTCAGACACAGGTAGGACAGAATGGTGCTCAGCTCTTCTCGGGGTGGGGCAGGATCCCTGGAGAGGATGAGGAGAAGGAGGAGGAGACAGAGGAGTCAGGGAAGAAGGGGAAGGAGGAGGTGAGGGGAAGACGGACAGGGGAAGAGCCCCAGCCAGTACTCACCATTGTCGTTGTCTTTATGCAAGTGCTGGATCATGAAGGGGATGGGGTCCTCAGGCTGATGGATCAGGAGTTGCTCCAGCATGTTCTGTGGGTGCAGGGCAGACACCCAGGTGGTTAATACCTGCAGGGGCACCTGGTCACCACACATACCAGCTACAGGGCCTGCTCTCTCCACTGCACCCCACCAAACGTGACTTCAACCTGGGACCCAGCCTCTGCCCCAGCTGGCATCTGCTTGGGTCCCCGTGAGCAGAGGCATGAGGGGGGCCACGTGGTGCTGCTGCAGAGGCACCTGGGGGAGGCAGAAGTGGGGAGCCCTGCCCCTGATTCAGAGCAGGCAGTCCAGGGCTCTCTCCCCTGGGGTTCTTTGGGCTTCCCAGATGAGCCTTCTCCAAGTTCTCAAGCATCACCGTTCCCCTCAGAGCCTTAGCGGATGCTGTTCCCCTAGCTAGGAAGCTTATTCCTCATCCTCATCCTGGCTAACTTCTGCTCAGTCTCAGATCTCAATGAGAACATACCTTCTTGAGTATGTGCACTAGGCAAACACGTCAGATGCTCCTACACCTGCCTACGGGCATTGCCCTGTTCCATGCCTCACCCTATTCCTACTCACCAGGCCACCATCCTCCCGGCAGGCCATGGGTTCTTTGGGCCTCCTTGTCTGCCTAGAGCCCTTGGCACCCCAGTGCCTGGTAGTCATAGCAGATGGCCAGCGCAGATGTTTGCTGGGGAACATGACCATCACCACTCCATGTGTCCCTCCAGAATGGAACAGAATATTACCGGCCAGATTTCTAAATAGTCCTGGGATGTTCTGGCCATTTCATCCAATCAGGCAAGCATATCAAGGGAAAGCAGATTCTGGGGTTGCAGAAGCCTAGGCACAGAAACGAGGAAGAGCTCACAGCAGCTGTGCTACCGCAATAAGGGGCATCCTTCAGCCCCAGGGACAAGGAGGGAAGGGCTGTAGCCCTCTTGGAGTGAAGGTGAGTGTGGGGCAGGAAAAAGAGCACCGAGCCGTGAGAAGTCTTGGTTCCAGCCCCACTGTATCTCACCAGCAAGTCCCTTCACTTCTCTGGGCCTCAGCTTCTCCGCCTGTCCAGTAGCGCAGCTGGAGTGAACTCACGTTTGTGTATCACTGGTGTGATGGAATGAGATGATTTTTCATGGTTCACACATAAATATTTTACATTTCATGTTTAAATCATCGTATATTGAACGTATTGGAAAAATAAGTACATCAAATCAATAATTTCAAGGATATCACTTAGGATGAGGCAAAAGCGGCTATTTAATTTTTTTAAAGGTGAGTTGATTAAAACCAGTGATGAGTTTAAATGGAGGTGCAGTAGTGGTTATGCAGATCTGTCCACGTGATATAACTGCACAGAACTGTATGCACAACAAAAACATCAATGCAGGGAAAAATGGAGGAAATCCAAATAAGGCCTACAGCTCAGGTAACCCTCTTGTACCAATGCCAGTTTCCTGGTTTCGACGATGTGCTACAGTTATGTTAGATATTATCACTGGGGCAATGGGGGAGGGGAGACCAGAAATCCATGCTATTTTTTAACTTCCTGTGAATCTAAAATTATTTTAAAGTCAAAAGTATAAAAAAATGGAAATGGTCAAAACCATGGAGGGAATACACAGATGACTAAGGACTGGAAATACTGGACTGAAAGCTTTCTTGTTGGGAGGCAGAGGCAGAAGGACTGTTTGAGCCCAGGAGTTCAAGACCAGTCCGGGCAACATAGCAAGACCTCGTCTCTATTAAAATTAAAAAAAAAAAAGATTAGCCAGGTATGGTGGCCTGCACCTGTAGTTTCAGCTACTCTGGAGGGGCTGAGGCAGAAGGATTGCTTAAGCCTAGGAGTTCAAGGCTGCCGTAAGCCATGACTGCATCATTGCACTCCAGCCTGGGCAACAGTGCAAGACCCTGTTTCAAAATCAGGAAAAGCTTTCCTGGGCAAGTCCTCCAACAATCATTGTGGAAAACACACTCTAGAGCAGACAGCAGGGCTCCAGATGCTCCCCCATCCTGCCCTGACCTGCTGACTTCTAACCCAGCTAGCTATTTTATTTGTGATTGGCCACTCAAGCAGTTTTAGGAATCTCTTGCTCTCCCTCTATCAGTTAACACTTTCCAAGGGGAATGTGTTTGATGGAGGTACAGACACGGGTTTCTTTGTCTGGGCTCAGCTATCTAGTGTGCAGGGCAGAGTCTCAAATGACCACAGACACCACTATGCCCTCCATGGCATGCCCCTGGTGAGCAGACAAATGTTCTGGAAACTGAGCTCCAGCTTCCCTTTGCCTCCCAGAACCTTTGAGTGGCTGAGAGTTCATCCTGTCCAGCTCCTGAAAGCCTTGACCTCCACCAAGTGCAGAAGGGAAAACTGGGGCCCTGGCGGGGGCGGGGCCCCGCCCAAAGTCACACGGTGACCTAGGGGCCCAGTCAGGCCTGGAGCCAGGATGAGAGCTTCGGAGCTGCAGGGGACGTCCGGCCCTGAAGGGGAGGGACCAGGGTGGGAGACGCTGCTGTCCCCGAGGCAGCCCTCTCCAAGGATGGAGATGCCAGCTTGAACTCGGACAATGCCCACCTCAAAAACCTGGGCCGAGAGGCTCCCCACAGATTCGACAGATGGGAACTGTCAGAGCCAGGAGAGCCCCTAGGAGACCACCTCTTCCAAGCTGGCATTTCACAGGTAGGGAAACCGAGACAAGGAAAGGACTGGTTCCAGATCTTAAGGCCCGCTGGCGGCCCAGCCAGGACCAAATCTCGGCTCAAGTGGCCCCCTTCCTCCCCCTGGGTCCGCCTGAGGCAAACCCTGGCAGGACCAGGGGCGTCCCCAGTTCGAGGGCCCCCTCGGGGTCACGGCGACACACGAATCGGACACCTCGAGTTGGGCTGCTTCGTGGGCGCACGACTCGGCCCCAGCTACGGGTCCCGGCCGCGCACCCGACGTCGCAGTGGAGGCTCCCGAGCCGCCGCCAGCGTCGCGACAGTCAGGGGTGTCCGGTCACCTGCATCAACTCGAAGATGTGGTTCTCCTCCCCATACTGGGGCATCTCGGGGGGGATACGGTGCGGGGCGGTGGCCAAGTCCATGCAGCCGTCGCGGCGCGCCGCTCCCTAGTAACCGCGTCGCCAGGGCCGCCGCGCCGTCTGCGTCATCAGCACGCGCCGCAGCCCCGCCCTGCAGGCTCCGCGCCTGGCCCAGATACCCGAGCCTCGGTCGCGCGGGTCGCACCCGCCCCGAACTCTTCGGCTGACGCGCTCTGCGGCTCGGGCAAGTTCTTTCCCCAACCCCGACCTCGCTTTCCCCATTTGCGCATCTTAGCGGGGGACACCCTCGGGTGGCTTCCAGCTGGGCCTCCTCGTATCTGAGACCCTCGACGAAACCCAGAAGGGGGCAGGTCGGCCCTCCGAGGCGGACCCTGCTTCTGGTTCTGTCAGTGCTCCCTGGCCCCGCTCCCTGTGCCTCAGTTTCCCCATCTTTAAAATAGAGATGCGGGAATAAATGTGGGGGAGGGTGTTTGAAGAGGGAGGGGCGTCTATGGGATGGGCCGGAGGTTCGAGGATCGGGTGGAAACCTCAGCCCAACTCCTAGCGTCGAGCCCGGGTAGACCCCACCTCCGGCTCCCCGGCTCTGGCCCAGCCGCCACGTGACCCGATTGCTATGGCACCGGCGGTAACAATCAGGCCCGCGGCCCCGCCCCTTCTCGCCCGACCTCCCCACCCACCCTCGCCTCCGAAGACCTGGGACGGGCCTCCCCAACCCTCCGGGGCACCGACACTCACGGAGTGACTTCAGCTTCTGGGTGCTCCGTGGAGCGAAGAGCGCTCTAAGACAAGCAAGGGTAAACAGCGATGACCGTGGGTGGGCCCACTCAGACCCCATCCCGGCCTCTGGGTCAGAAACTGGAAGCTGGGGTGGAGGATGGAAAGATGGAGGGGTCCAGAGGATGGAGGGGCCTGCATAGCTGTCTGGGTGGGTGGCGAGGGGAAGGTTCGCGCTGGAGACGGAGCTTTTCGAGTCGTGTGAATTCCCAATAGTACGGGGCAGCTTGATGTTAGTCGCAACACTGAATAGGGAGCTCTAGCTCTTGTCTGTTGCCATTAACAGTAGGAACTGTAAGAGTTTGTTGAACTCTTAACTTTGTGCTCTCGGCGAAACTCTGTTGTCTCCGTACCTTATGGAGAGGGAAAATGGCACAGTCAGTGCAGACAGCCCCAGATTCCAGTCTTGGCTCCACTTCTTACTGTGTGAGCTTGGCAAACTCTTTAGTTGCTCCGTGCCTCACTTTCCTCGCCTGTGAAGCAGGAACTGCTGAAGGATTTCAGGAGCTAATGTATTGGAGAGTAACTGGCATGCAGTAAGCACACAATATATGGGGCTACTATTAGTAGTAGTATCTCATTTAATCGTTCCAACAACCCTGTGAAATGGGCACCTTCATTCCCATTTTACAGATGAGAAATTGGAGGATTAGAACAATGAGGAGTGGTTGGCTGGGTAACTTTGGGCGAGTCACTTCCCCTTTCTGGGCTTCTTTCCTCCTCAGTTGTTGATCATACAGCCTTAGAACCAGAAGGCCTCTTGAAGAAGAGGCTAATCCAAACTCCCTCATTTGACAGATGGATAAAGTGAGGCCCAGAAAAGGGAGAAATCTTGGCTAGGGCCACTGATTAAATCGGGCAGAGCCAGGGCATGAACTCCACATCCAGGCTCCAGCTAAAGCCCTTTTCTACCAGCCACCTGCCCAGAGACGTGCCCTCCCAATGTAAAAGCCAGCACTGTTGCCTCCTCACCTCCAAACCGCTTCCTCAAAGTGTGCACACCTTGGTAGGCTTGTCAAACCCAACTGTAAAGATAGCTGGGGAAGAAAAGGAAGCTGCCTCCCCCTGAACAAAGTACACAACAGCCATGCCTGCCATTTGCACCGGAGAGGTTTGGTTTGCTTCCTGGACATTTCTGAAATGACTTGCCTTTCTCCTCATTTATTTTAAGCCCTAGGCGCTTTTCCTACCATGATTTAATCTTCTTTACCAGCCTGGAAAAATACAAATCAATTAAAGCCTAAAACCTATGGGTAATCATTTTTTCCCTCCCTGCTCCCCCAGATCGAGAAGTGCCCATATACCCTGTGCCTTTCATCTACACTAATTTGGCTGCAGTGGCTCTCGTTCAAGGGACGATCACTTCAGATAGCTTATTACAGCTCCTCTCGTGACATTCCTGGCATGCATGTCACAAGTTGCTAGGATCAAGAACGGAGTCAGTTTTGCTCTCAGCGGCTCTTGGGGCCACCAGCCAAGGTAGTGCTGTATCCCTGGAGAACTTGACAACCCCAGGAAGCTCCAAGAGGGTGACAGGGAGCTGGGCACACAAAGGGCAGCCCCCTGAATGTTTAGTCCTCCTTGCTTTGGGTCAAGGAAAAGGGAAAGTCTAGTGGTCATGGCAGTGAGGCCTAGGGCTAGGGCTCTAGTCAGTGGCTGAACCCTAGAGACGTCAGGCAGCTCTTCAGGCCCTTCGCATTCCCTATCCTCACCTCCACAGTCAGTCTGATGTCCGGTGTGTTTGTCTCTAAGTACTACCAAGGAGAAGGGGAGGAGGAAGGAGGAAGGGAGGAAGAAGGGAGGGATCCAAGTTAAGAGCCCAGACTTTATAAAGCCAGGCAGAGCTGAGCAGGAAGTCCTGACTTGCCCATTCCTTATCTGGCCTCAGTTTCCTAATCTATCCTGTGAGGATAACCATGGTACCTGGCTCTAAGACCATGGTGAGGACTTGAGCTAACATGTCCTAGAGCCGCATCCCGTGACCCGCGCTGTTCTTAGGAGGACTGGAGTGAGCCACCCTTCTTCAGGCCAGGATCTCCTTGAGGGCTGGAGCACAGCCCCAGCTGTCCTGGCACCGTACCCACCCTCCTCCTGCAAATGCCCCTCCAGCAGACAGTGGCCCTTCGTTCTCCAGGTTCCCACCTGCTTCCCTGCTTTATTTCCTCCCTATCTAAAATGCTGTTCATTTCAATCTTCCGCATGGTCTGCCTTCCCCTGTGACAGACGAGCTCCTCCAGGGCGGGGAGTCTTGTTGGACACCCCAGCACCTGAATAGTGCCTGGCACACAGTAGGAACGCACAAGTGAATGAATGCATGGAGTGCTTTTCACCCCCTTGGCTTAGAAGCTTCACCTGACACTGGGGTCCCTCAGCCTGACCCTGTCCACTGTCCTCTTCTGCATAGTCCCACGTCCCCACACACCAACCTCCAGCCCAGGGTCCCACCCCCACTGCACACCTGTCTCACCTCTCCACAGCCTCCTTCTTCTCAAGTCCGGGTTCAAACATCCCTTCCTCCGGGAGGTCAAGCCCTTAGCAGTTCCTGCTTCTTTTGAGGTACACACCACGCGTGTGATGGTGTCCCCTGCCATTGCACACACACACGCTTCAGCCACAGTCGCGTTGATGATTCTGATGATAGCACCACCACATACCGGGCCCCATGGTCCACGCCGTACACCTCTGGTCTCGTGTCAGCTCACCCCAGGCTGGGAGGCTGCTGCACACTGAGGCTTAGGGAAGATGGGCAGCTTGCCCAAGGTCAGCAAGAAGGGGTGGAACCAGGATTTGAATCCAGGCCTCTGTGATTCCAGGGCTCCAGCTCCTCTCATGACATTCCTGGTGTGCATGTCACAAGTTGCTAGGATCAAGAACAGAGTCAGTTCCTCTCAACCTCTACCAACCACAGCTCTCACCATGATGGGGGAAAAGCCAGGCCAAAAGGGCACACGCCCCTTTTCCCTGGAGCTCCACCTATGTGCTCTCTCTAACTTTCCTGGAGCTTCACCTTTTGAGTCATTTGTAAGCCCTGGGCCAAGATTAGGGCAAGGCAAGTGATGCACTCTCAGCACAAAACTTAAGGGAATGCCAACAGTTCAATCACTGAGGTGGACATTTTTCACGTTTTAATGCAATATTTTTAAAAAATCAAAAATAATGCCTAAAATCCATTTAGAGTAACATGTCAAAAATTTTAAGTAAAGGTATACTCAGTATTACTGATTTCTCCTTTTGCCTCAGGTTTCAATATGGCAAGGTGCAGCCATCTTTTCTTTACAAATTCTGACGCTGCCAGCTCATGCTCCTAATCCCAGCACATTGGGAGGCTGAGGCGGGAGGATCGCTGGAGCCCGGGAGTTCGAGACCAGCCTGAGCAACATAGGGAGACCCCATCTCTACCAAAAAAAAAAAAAAGGAAACAAGTAGTCAGGCATGGTGGCACGTACCTGAGGTCCCAGCTACTCAAGAGGCTGAGGCAGAAAGACCACTGGAGCCCAGGAGGTCAAGGTTGCAGTGAGTCATGATCACACCACCACACTCTAGCCTGTGTGAAAGAGCAAGACCCTTTCTTTAAAAAACGTTTTTGGGGCTGGGTACAGTGGCTCATGCCTGTCATCCCAGCACTTTCGGAGGCTGAGAAAGGTGGTTCACTTGAGGCCAGGAGTTCAAGACCAGCCTAGCTGACATGGTGAAATTCCATCTCTACTAAAAATACAAAAAATAGCCAGGTGTAGTGGCACACACCTGTAATCCCAGCTACTCAAGATGCTTTTTTTTTTTTTTCTTTTGGAGACAGGGTCTCACTGTGTCACCCAGGTTGGAGTGCAATACTGCGATCATGGCTTACTGCAGCCTTGACCTCCTGGGTTCAAGCGATCCTCCTGCCTCAGCCTCCCAAAGTGCTGGGATTACAGGTGTGAGCCACTCTGCCTGGCCTATTTTTATCCTGATTGCTGAGTTTTTTGGCACCTCCTTAAGTTTTGCACGGAGGCAAGTGCCTTCCTCATCTCGCCCTAGTTGGGCCTGGGTGAGCCGGACACCATGGGAGGCGCAACAGGAAACCACTGTGCGTGAGTCAGCGTGTCTGCTCCAGCCAAGGATGTGGCAGGTGTCAGTAAACCATGGCAGGCGTCATAAACCCCCACCTCATTCCCCACCCTCAGCTCTCCTTTCCATAGGAGGTTGAGCTGAAAAGAGGCCCCTGCCCTGCCTGCCCTGGCCCTGGCCCCAGCCCACCCCCAGGGGAGCTGCAACTGCCCCTGCGTCTGTTGATAGTCACAGCCCTGTGGCTCTGCTGCAGAAGCATACTCTTGTCTTTCCAGGAGACCCACTCAGTGGCTCTGAA